GTTTTAATTTAGCAACTTCACAATTTCAGCAATATTGTAGTAATTTAGAAATAGCTCATTGGAAAGTCTCTTGCTCACATCAAAATTGTGTCGCTATAGCTTTACAGAACAGGATAAAGATTATATAACATTGCAAGTAAAACAACCTTACTGTTAGGGATGAGAAAGCTTAGATAGGATATACTTAGATGACAGATCTCTACCCAGGAAAAGCTGTCTTAATATATATGTTCCTGGTATCTTCTGTCACTTTTTACTGCCTTTTTTTTTGTAGGCAAAATTGTTAGTAAAAATATAAGTAGACCCTCTTATAGAGGATGCAACGGAACGTCTGAACAATGAGATCCTGTGCGTATTCTAATATGCTGTGGTTTTCCTGAATGATTTGATAGGTTTTGAAATTGTTCCAGTGGCAGGAGCGCGAGGCTTTATTCTCTTTGTATTTTGTGTGTTTATTAGTAGGCTAAATTCTTTTGCTGCATTCTGTTACAGAAGCTACAGAAGCGTTTGTGTTGACAAAGCTCCTGATCTGTCCTGGTGTTAATACAAAGACTCTCTAGAAGTGATGATCCCATGCATTGTAATTGTATCTGGCTTGGCTGTAAACATTCAGCCTTTGTCCTGAGGCCTCAGTACATGCTAGGTGTGATGTCATCTCAGCATGTCATGTCTTACTGAGCAATTGCATTAGCTTTCCAAGCTGTACAGCATGCATTAGCTTGTGAAAGCTGCCCAAATCTAAGCATTGTAGCCTTTGCCTTTTGTGAGGGATTTTTGCTTTTACTTGTAGAGAGCAGGAAAATGTCACGTTACAGCGGTTACATAAAAGATCTCAAACACTTAATATGGGTGATACCTGTGCAGCTAAGCTAGAGTATACAAAATCGCTGTATGTCAGCTGTGTAGTGAAATGTCCAAAATAATGGGTCTTTTTTAGCTGCTGAGAATTAATAGTAAAATAACTGCTATTCTAGGATTCCTCTCGTGAAGTGTTGTCTTTGTGTTTGGGAAGCCTGTGTTCCTTACATGGCATAACAACTCAAATCCATCTCTTTATCTCTATAGGATGCAGATACGGAAGAAAACGCTGACTTAATTCTCGCAACAGAATTACCTTGTGTGAAGTTCAGTTGTTTGGCTTTACAAACCACAAGCTTAGTTCTTCATTGCATGCTATAGTGTTACAAACTCATGAGCTTGTTTATATCTCAAGATCAGAATGTTTGAAGTTTGTGTGTGAATTCTGTATTTCAAAATACAGTGACTCATATCCGCGTGAAACTCGGCTGTTCCAAAAATATGGATTACTTATAGATCTAGAGAAACATAGTGCCATTTATGTTTTTAACTTAAAACAAACATTTATTGGTAAGTCTGAAGAATTTAAAAGTGTTGAAACAAACTGGAAGTTTGATTGAACTTGTATTTTAATATTAAGCATCTGTTGTGAAAAAGTTGGAATATGCAATTAAATATCCATATTCCAGAAGTCTAAAATTTGAAATCTTTTCTGATACATATGAGTGAATATGCTCACACAGTGTTTAAGAAAGTCTTTCTGGTAAATGCATTGTTCCCATTCATGTTTCAAAAGCTAAAGCAGACTAAAAATTTGGATGTTTAATCATTTTTATGGTATAGTAATGCATATGTACTATACACTAATAATACAGACAGTATCAAATCCTGGTATGTTTTCTCACATAGAGCAGGACTTGCTTTCATTGCAAAAAAATGGAATGAGTTGGAACGAGAGCAAAGAATGAGGAAGGTCTGTCATTCAGTGCAGAAGGTGTCAGCACATTCAGGCAGCCACTGTAATGTATTTAAACACACGGTGGGATTGCTTGGTCATCAGATCTGCACTATCAGTCATGTCCCTGTCTTGATGAAGGATTTGCTGCAAGTTTTTTGGAGGAGACTTTTGTATAGGCCCCCCCAGACTGGGACAGATACTGATTGGAACCAACAAATGTCCTACTGTGGGTTTGTTCATTAAATTCTTCTGGTGGAGAAAGGAGAAACAGAAAAGAAGAATATAGACAGTGAAGAGCTGAGCTTCATTCTGTAAGCAGTCTTTAGATTCCAGATACGGTTTAGAAGAGTGGACTAACAGATGTTTATCTTCTATAAATCATTGCAATTAATAGACTTGCTTAAACCTGGACTAACAAAAATTTAAAAATGCTTGATTTAAATAAAAAACAAAACAAAAATACCTGTTAGGAGAATACGCACACACGGTCCAAATGTTGACTGTATCTGGAGAATATTTTTATTCTAATGAGTCTGAGGATTTTAAGAAGCAGATGGCTCAATGAATCTTGGAAAGGATTTTGCTTGTTCTCTGTATTTTTTGATGGGAATGTTGGTGTAATCTAAAGTCATGGTAGTAGTGTTTACCCTATTGCCTTTCTCTTAACTTAATGAGCTGGCCAGAGAAACTCAGGTCTCGAAAATATCTGGTTCAAACAAGTCTTCAGGCAGCAGGGCCACGGTTAGCAGAGTCTCCCTTCTGATGTTCCCCACTGTGCATAAAGATCCAGTGTGCAGTATGAAAGTCTTGAGATAAGAGTATTGCACTGTTGCAGAAGACTTTACAGGTAGGTTGCATGTTATTAAAAATGGGTGAGATGTTATCAGTACAAAACCTGGAATATCTTTAATGAAGTGTAGCTCCTAAAAATAATAGTTTGGAAACCCGGTGGCAGCTGGGAATTCAATCTTATTTCCCTAGCAGTGATAGTGGTTAGTCTTTCAAGAGTGTCTCAAGGAGGAAAAAATATTTCCTCTTAGCTGAGGAAAAAATACACTTTTCCAAGGTACTATATTTGATAAAGGAAGAAAGTGATTGAACCACATAACTACCCATCTGTTTGCCTTCCTTAGCCTTAAAATCTTGGCAAGCTGAGCACTGGACTTTCTTAACAGACATTTGAGATGTTAGGCCTTAGTTAAGAATAAATATTCTAAGGTCTCTGCTTTGTATGTGGTGTGCTTTGAAGTGAAGGTGGAAGATGTAAACAGTTCGTCTTTTCATAAAGATACTAGTATTCTTCTAAAGTACTTTTAGCTGTATTTAAAAAAATAAATATAAACAGGGGAGGAGGCAGGGATTGAGCTTGTTTAAAAATAAGTTTATGCAAAGGCTTCCCTTATAGGTGGGAATTTTAGATCTCTGGAGGTAGAACTTCCCTGGAGTATGCTGCCAGGTGGGAACTGCTGTGATAATCTGTTTTACCAAAGCTGATGTCCTTTATCTAATCACATGGTTTCTTTTATGAGGTTCAGCACTTCAGCTAGAAAGTCAGTTAGGAATTAAGCTTCGTATTATTAAAAGCCAATTCTAACGTGCTTGTATTTTTCTCTAGTTTTCAAATGGATAGTGTTCTGCATTCTAATAAATGCAGTATCTTTGAAATGACAGAAGCTAGTTTAAGTTAGGAATGTCTGGGATTTTCTTTTGGGACTTGCTCTTTCAGAGCTTGCTAAGGCTAAGTTTGCTTGGAAATCACTAAAGACGAGATAGTAATACTGACAGACAGGTATGATGCCTTCCTTCTGTGAAACTTCTTACTGCTGTCTTGAAAACTATAAAGCAAAAAATATACAATGCAATCAAGAAATAGAGTGTAAATTCTTAAGCATAATGCATGTTTTGGAGTCGCCTGTTAGAGTATCAGTAGGAACCTTGACTCTAAGTGTTGAAGAATGATGTGTGATTTGTTGTCTCTGGAATGAGAAATACGGAATTTTTCCCTTTAAATGCAGTGAGGGAAATGAATGAAAATTCCCTAGTATTATTTTGTGAGACCTCGGGATATGAAGATAGTATCTGGGTGATAAAACTGAATTTCAGCAATTTGTCCTCAGCTACTAGAATTTAATTGAACGGGTGAGAAGTGGAGAATGCCTTAAATAACTAAAACCAAAAGAAATCCAAACATGTCAGTGTTATGAAGGGACATTTACTGTTGAGTTGGAAGCTGCATGGTTTCCTCCACCCTCACAATGTTACCAAACCTGTGTTAGGAAAAAGTTGGAATTGCTGTTTGAAACATCTAAACAAGAGGTAAAGGTCTTCTGTTTACCTTTCTGTAGCAAGGGTCTTTCTAGCACCTTTTGAAGGGCTGCATGCTGTGGCAGCTTAGTGACATCACTTCTCATGGATTGTATGAGCAGTTGTGGGACGCATCTGTTCTATGTGTTGTATGTGCCCTAACTGTGGCTTGTTCTGGAAAATCGAGTACACTTCTAATCCTGTGAACCCTTTTAACCTCACTGTCACTAAGATGTGTTTTGGCACCTGTCTAGTGATGGAAGAAAGTTATTCTGTAAGCTTTCTTGATAGGATTGTACACAATATATTGTTTGAGAAATCTTTCAACAGTGGAAAGTCCTGCATGAGCCTTGATGGTACAAAGATAAAATTGCAGATTTTTGGCATCTCGATCTGCCCATTAACTTGTTCTTCAAGGCAGGAGATTTGAGCTGTTGCTTCAGTCTGAGGGCTGGTGTGAGAACAATCCTGTTTGAGCAGTAAATCTGAGGACTCCAGGTTTTGTTGCTTTCATAGCTTTTATTTGGAAGAATCTGTATTTTTATGAAAAATCGCCATTGATACAGTTTTATTCTTTGACGTGTACTACTTGTGATTCCATTTTTTTGGTAATGATCACCTGTACTGCATTTCTAAATTTCTCCCACCTGCTCCACCTGCCCCCAGGGTTTTAAACTTTTCAGCATTGTTTCTTATGTATGTCCATCATCTGATCAAGATGAAAATAAGATGAAATACTAGAAGAACCAGCTGGCTGGGTTTCTTTCAACTTCTGTGTTGCCTAAAAATGCTGTGTTAAAAGCTTCTGTGTTCCCTGACTTAGAGTAAGGTAAAAAGTGATGTTAATACTGTGTTGTGAAATTTTTGGGGTGAATCAATTTTAAAAGCTTTTTTTTTGTTTACTTAATTGTTGGGTCTTTTGTGTTGTTTTTTTTAACAGGAGTCTTACCCCTCTTCATCACCAATATGGTTTGTAGAATCAGATGACCCAAACCTGACTTCAGTCTTAGAGCGTTTAGAAGATATTAAGAAGAGCAATACTCTGGTGAGCAAGTGTTTTTATTTTTTGGGGAGTGTGTTTGGGTGTTTATTTAGCTTTGTCACATTAACAAGCAATTAAATTAGTTCAGTTTGGGGGTTATTTGGGGGGTTTTGTAAACACAAGTTTCTCTTCCAAAAAAACATGAACCAGAAGTAATCCAAAAGATTTGGGGCAAGGAGGAGAAGATGACTTAAATGCTTGCTTTTTAAAAGAAGTTAAGTTTCAGCCCAAATAATTACATAATTTAAAGTTTTCAGTGAAATGCACGAAAATTTAACACTACTGAATAAAACAAGTCTTCTAGAGTTTTATTTGCGCAGAGATCAATTATGGAGGCAAAAGCTTTGTGTTCTTGAGAATGTATATTCTCCAAAACATGGCTATAATGGTAACTAATACAAAGAATTCCTGGCTTCAGTAAAGAAAACCTGACGTGATAGCTTCTGGTTCATCAGAATGTTCCTTAGATAGCAATAAGTTTGAACAGTGTTATGACTTCGGACAATCACTATTTAAAGAAAATCTTTGCACAGATTTTAATGGTGGTTTTGTATTTCAGAAAACTATCAGGCATTATATCTTACTTGAGTACCCTTTTGATGTAGTGATAGGAGCTGTGTGTGTATATATATATATATAAAAATTAACTTTCCATTTTATGCAGGAAAGTAAGTGTCCTTAAATATTGCTTGGAGATAAATTTCAGTGCAAATGTACTTTGTTCCACAAAGAGCAGTATTGCAACCTACTGACAAATTCAGTGATTAAAAGTGTTGTTTTTCCTCTCCTAATTCAGCTTTATGGATATTAAATAGCCCTTAAGGATGGTGTCTATAAACAGATGATTTTAATTTTTTTTTATTTTTGTGTACAAGAACGCATGCATGCACATGATGTATACAAAGCAATTTAGTCTGCAGAATACTGCTTATTGCATGGATTATGTGCTGGCCTTAGTATTTGCCTGGTTTAGGAAAAATTTGGAATGTTCTTTCTCAAGAAATTGCTTCCCTGTAATGTTTATTAGGACAATGTTCATCAAGCATACTCAACCTTAAATAAGGATATGTAAATTTTTTTTCTGAAGAATTTTTAGAATGCATTTGACTTCTAGGAGAAATAATTGGAAAACTAATAAGCAAGTGAGAGTCCTCATGGGCCTTGCCGTAACTAAAAACAAAAGGGCATTGCAGAGGAACAGTAGTGTTTTAATGTGTTATGTTGGATCTGATTACAGGACACATGCATGCCAATTGTGTGTTTTCTTCTTACAACCTGAACTTTAGACTAAACTACATTTAGAAGAATGTTATAGATCTCTTAGTCTTTGTGACTCTGCCTAGAAAGACATATAACAGTATAGTAGCAGAAAATGTGGTCAAATCGACTTCTTTCTTAAATACAGTTTTCAGAAGGTTTTCCAGCTTGAAGCTAGTGTGGCTAGGAGCTTCTTACTAAAGATTTTAAACAAGATTATTTCCTATGTTTAACTATCTACAGGTTTGCTTGCAATAGGGTAGAAAGCTTTACTGCAAACATGGATAATACTTGCTGTGCTGAATTGCATATGCACATAGAGTGCTTATGTACGTTGTAAGAAAACAGCTTTTGATATCAAGATTGTACTTGCCCATGTAAAAGCTGATGGGTTGATGTAATAGACACCTGTGGATGGCCCATTGGTTTCTCAGGAATCCACCCCACATCATGTTATGCCAAGATGAAGACAGATGGGAGTGGTTGAAGAGACAAATACTTACACTACAAAATCTAACTTCTTTGTTTTGTTCAAAAGGCTTAGCTTTGTGGGTTTTGGGTTTGTTTTTTCTCAATACAACTTCTCCCCATGCAACACCGTCCCCTTCAAGGGCGTTGGAGCAACTCACACACAGACTTCTTGGAGTAGGGTAGGAAGGGATAAGGAACTACCTGTAGAAATCCAGACACTTCCAATTTATCACGCTATCTCCTAAAAACTCGCTTAGGTCAATTTAGACTTTCAGAATGTTTCAAACCAGTTTTCATTTAATTTATTGCAGCTAAAGGATTGTTTGTGCCATGTTGCTCTAAACTCCTAAAGTTATTGGAACAGTCAAATTTTGAATGGGAAATTGCATTGAGCTCTTCCAAGAACTCAACTGAGCACAGTGAACATGTGCCAAAAGCACTACTGCACGTGTACCCTGATTTGGTGTTCTTTGGTATTACTCTGCCCTTTCTACTTGCTTTGTAACTTTTGACAGGTATCAGCTGTTTGGGAAATGGAAGAACATGCTCATCAGGCATAAGAGTTTGACAGGGGTATATACATGGAGACTTTGTCATTTGATGTGGTAAAAGGAAAACCATTTTACTGTTTTAAAATCATGCACATGTTTCCTGGAAAAACTTCTGTGGGTCTGAAACTGTGTTACTTACCTTGGCATCGGCATGGTACTTTTTGCTATGAAAACTTGTCAAGACACTAAAAATCTTGAAAGGTTAAGAACATGGTCAGCATATATAGCATTAGGTTTGGAGGCTTTAGCTGCTTGACTGTTCATATTGAACAAGTTCCAGTCAGCAGATGAAGGGGCTGCGGAATTCTACCTGACCCCTAGTGTCTCCTGAATTCCTTTTCAGATCCTGAAAATCAGTGTTACATTAGACTTGGTAGGTGGCTGAAACTGACAGCTGCCTTCTAGTGGTTGTGCTATGCAAAAGATGAATCCTACTTCCATTTCATTCTGTTTAATATAATGGAAGTTATAGTTGCCAGCCTGAAGTCTCAAACCTTACTTCATGGGTTATTAAATATAACTGTACATGATTTAGAGGTTTGTTTTTTAAAGACAATAGTGAAATGGACTTAAATTTGGATGGGCAGCTTAATTCTCACACTTCAAAACTTGCATGGAGGATGTCAAAAGTACAGAATTTCTAGCATAAGCATGTGTACAACTTGGATAAGCTGCCTGTCCCTAAGCACACAGCTTCTGTATTAAGAATTTAGATTTAGTCCCACATGATGGCATTTCAGGAAAGAATATTGGCCCTTGCAAACTACCAGTGTGGCTGCAACTAATTATGTGTTGGGGGTCATAGAGATAAAATGCAGGAAGAAGCTTTGCTTTACTTTCTGAAACTGCCAAAGGCTGCTGAATGTGCGTGAGGCCAGTTATTGTCACAGACTGCCTGATAGCTAAGTAGTAGTCACGTTCCAAATGACAGTTATTTCTTCCCTCTGTTTCCTCTTGTATCCTTCTTCAGCAGTTTCTTTCAGTGGTAGGCTAGGATTTATTGATTCATTTTTGTATAGATATAGTGTGTATATATATGGATAGATACATGTAGAAGAATAAGTATGTGTATACTTACACTATGCTTCTTAAATCCATGTTTCCTGGTAATCAGAAAACAAGGTGCTTCATAGTGAACCCAGCAATATATTAATATCATTAAAGGTATCCCAAAAATTGTTAATGCTTTCATACTGCATTAGAAAGATCTCTTCATGCATAAAAAGGCCTCCTAATGTAGGATAGGTTTCAGAAAAATTGTTTTAAACTGTTTTCAGATTTGTAAGATGTTAACACAGGAAACAAAAATTCTAAGAGGTGTTTTTGTCTTCTAAAACAGCATTAAGGTGTACATAAGAACTACAAACTTCTCAGAACTCCCGAAGCATTAAAAGTTATATTATAGATGTGTATATTATACTTTTATATTGTTACTTTTATATTATAATACGTATCATTAATTTATAAATTTTTTATTATATTTGGTCACTTGAGCATTTACTTTATGCAGATTCTTTACATTGCTCCTTCAATACCCTGTGTATTATGCATTCTAGTTGCTGTTTAGTTTCTGCTTTATGCAGTTTGTATTCCAAGGAAACTATTGGTATACTAATAACTCACTTTTCTTCAGTAGCAGCAAAGTGTGTGTGTGTAAAGCATTCATTTTACGTTAGCCAAGCATGTGAAGTTAACCTGGAAATACATTTAAAGTATTAATACATGGCAGAAATCTGCTATCCCTTTTGATACAGTCTATTCATGTACCATGAACACATACCAAATCATGCTAGGCTGTGCTTAGAGCAAGGGGTTGGATCATATGACTTCCAGGCATGCCTTTCAGCCCAAATTATCCTATGATTTTTCATACATATGAGCAGAGCATAAAGGATAAGGGTGATGGTGATCCACAGCAGAAAGATCAAGGGTATGAACTGAATTCCTGTGAAGGAAAAACATAGCAATAAGGAAGAAGGGCTGTAGAGATGGGATCAGCATCTCACTGCTGCCACCTTTGCAGCTTGTAGAAACTGATGTTAAGTAAAACAACTTAGCTATAAAAATGAAAGTGCAATTTGACAGTTGTATTAAGCTAACCACGAAGCATAGACTGCTGTCAGGGAAGGGGGACCCTGCTCTCAGCTGCACGTTCCTGCTTCCCCCTTTATGGTGAAATCGGTGCTTACATGCTGAAGCACATCAGGAATTGATCTGCCACGAAGCTTGTAAGCTGCTTCATGGTTGTGTGATCTCTGGTGCCAGTGCAAATGAGAAGGTGAAAATGTGGTGCTGGAGGCAGGGAGACGCCTCTTCAGGCACAGCCACTGTGGAATTTGGTCCAGGTTGTGCCCACAGTTCGTTACTTTAAGAGTGCTTGTGTATCTCGCAGTGGTGTTGTGTTCAGAGGGAAGTGAGAGAAGCTTACAGTGTGCTAAGTCCTGGCTGCAAAGATTCATTCTGAATTTCAATTCAGGTGACAGGACTTCTCATGAAGAGGATGGGGAGTGGAGGAAGCAGGGCAGGAAGCAGTTCTTAACTCTTCCCAGCCCTTACTGTCTCTTTCTATAGAGAGACATCTAATATTGTCTTCATCTGCTTTTCCAAGCTTTGGACCAGCCAAACGCTTGTGGTGGTATTCTTCCCCCACCGCTGAGATTTTTTTGTATGCTTCACAACAGATGTAAACAAATCAATGGCTTGCCTGACTTTACATAGCTACGTGAGAAAAATTACGGTTCCTGAAATGTTACAGTTTATGTGCCAACTCTCCATGAGGCAGTGTTGTTTGTGCAGAGAAAAATTTTCTAAATGAAATGTGTAGCAGTGCAACTTTAAGCATCTTGCATGTATTGAGAATAATAGTTCTAAGACCTATGATTCTATCTACCAACTGACTTTTTGATTAATTAACCTGCTTTCTGCCTGCTAAAAGATTTCCTGATGTTTCAGACACCCAGGAAGTTTCAAGCAGGTGTAGAGTCTTAACACTGATGAGAAATGAGATTGTTACAGGAAACTTCTGGCAACATAAACTATCACATCTCATGTATATACTCACAAGGAATGTGTTGCTGATACACCAATTCTTTTGGTGTCATCTGCTTTATTTTTGAGTTAAGGATTACTGTCACAAATGATGCAGAAACAGCAAACGTGGTATGATAAAGACCATTGTAATTCTTGTAATGCAGGCTGGTATGTCAGCTCATGGACTCCAATGAATAAATAACATTCCTATTAAACAGGAATATTGAATTCAACTAGAGAAGGGAAAAGCAATGAAGCTTTCAGATAGCATAAGGGCAACATTTGCGTATCACTGCTAGTGATTTGGGCTTGGAAATGCATTCTTAACCGTGGAGAGGCTGAATTTTCACTTGCAGTAGGGTAAGGTAAGAGCATTTATACTAGCCAGTGGCTTTGGACATGTAGAATACTTTGGAGTGACTAGATTTTTCTCGGATACCTTAATTTATTGTATATTTTAAGAAATACAATATACAAACACCAAATAATGTTGTAGAGGTATCATTCTTTCAGGATAATACAGTCTATACTGTACCTTGGGTGAGGCCATGTTGCCTGAGTCTCCCTCCTTTATGGAGAGATACTTAAAGGGGAGTGGGGCTTGCCACTCTAGGCGTAACTACTGGTAGTGCTGCAGTGTATGTGTACAGAAATGGCTGTCTTGCATGCTGCCTTCTACAAGTGGCAAGACAAACTCCCTTTGGTATCTGGAAGAAAAGTCCAGAAATGAATGTATAATTTTTGCAACCTTTGTCTAGGATATTCTGCAAATAATGAAGCATTGAACGTTCTGCAAATGTATTCTGCAGTCCTTTCTTCGTTTTTCTGACATAGCTATGCAAGGACCTTGAAAAATTAGGAAATGCAGTAGTACAGTCTTTTGTGGTCTTGGCTTTAACTAGGAATCTGAGCCTGCCTAGAGAAGGTTAACAGCTATGGAAATCCACTTAATTAGCATGGTGATCAAGAAGCAAACTTAATATTTCTCTGTTTCTGCAGAACTAAATCTACTTTTTGGATAGTATTACAGTGAGTGAAAGGTGTTCTGTATTTTGCAGTTAGTGGAACACAGTCAATATAACATGCTGAAAGCTGGAGACAGAAATCGGTGATAGTAGCTGATTGTGCCTCAACCTGATATAAGATACATCAAGCAGACTACTTGGGCTCTAGCTCAGAGGTTGGCTAGTTTCTGTGCCTTGTACAGTGTTTGTCTTGCTTCTAGTGCCTCACTGGTGTGCCCTAGAAAAGGATTCAGGGTGTGGAAAATCAGACTGTTCCTCGTTGTTTTTTTGAAGACATGATTCTTTGACCTAGGAAACTGGAATGGACTGTCTTGTCTCATGGAATATGATCATTTGGTTATTCCCTAGTGATTTGTGGCTGACACACCTATGCCTGGAATGGATGATGCTGCCGGAGCAGATTATTCTTTTGCTCATGGCTTTCTTCACTTGACATGAGGAGATGGACGGGAGCCATCTTTAATTTGCCATATCCTTGGTTTACCATTGTGGGGATTTTATTACAACGATTACAGAGGAAAGAGAGGTCTTTAAACTTTATTCCAGTGCATGCAGATTTAAATGCTGTATACTGACTGAAAGTTCAGTACCAACAGTGTGAAGAAAATTAAAAATTTATTGTTCTGTGCTTTGGTTTATATAGATGTTTCCATGTTTTCTTTTTTTTATAGCTTCTTCAACAGCTGAAGCGATTAATATGTGACCTCTGCCGATTATATAATCTTCCTCAGCATCCAGACGTTGAAATGTTAGATCAGCCTTTACCAGCTGGACAGGTAAATTAAAAAGCGGTGGACACCTCCTTACGGAAATGAAAGAGTTGGTTTTTTCTACTCCAAGAAACAAGATGGTGGGAATGAGTAAACTTTGTGTAAACCAGAACTGAGATATGAAGCAGTGTTGCTTTATGGTGTCCTCAATCTGATTTTTGTTTGCAGAATCCATTTAATAATGGTGTGATAATATTACACAATTTACTTTGGAGTTTCTGTATCATTACAAGGTGTCTATGTGACACCAGTGCTGTCAGTTTAATTCCCTCCTAAATACTGTTCAAGCCAATCATTGTGCATTCCTAGTGCTTCCCAAATTTACTTTTTTCCAAAATGTAAATATGATTAAACACTGCTTGCTTTTTCGTGAAAAGTATATGTTTTACAATGTTCTCTTGGATGAACTACTATGATGTTTTCCTTCTTCAGTCCCTTGCAGAGACATGGGATATCAAGACCATATGCTACTTTGGGTAGGGAGTATCTGAGGTGCCCTGTTTACTTTCTGTGCACTTGACAAATTAAGAGTTGTGAAGGGCTGTGAAATGTTCTGGTTAACTAAAATGTTTTGTAATGTGCTGAAAACAGAACTGGTAACTGACAGTAACTGTTCTTTTTTGTACTTTTATTAAGATTATGATATCTTCTTTTGTTTGTACATGTTAAGATGACATGATTTCTAAAAACTCCTGTAGCGTAACAGATGGTTTTCCTGTGGTGACAGTACTATAGTAATGACAAATAACTTGCTTAATTTTGGTCATGTGCCAAATTGTCATCCTATAGGTCTTTTCTCTCAGCCACCCACGTAGCAGTGCAACTGTAAGGCAATAGGCCTGTAATATTAGGAAGTAGCTTTGTTGAAGAGTCTTGCTTATGCTCTGAAACTCAAAAACAAAGTCATGGAAGGTTTATTAGCCATAGATGTCAGATAATTTGCCACTTAAGTAAAAGTGGCCTTAGTAAGTTAGACCAAAGATCCATCCAGTCCCCTGCGTTGTCTACAGCAGTGGTATTCCTTCTTTACCAAAGGAAGAGTAAGCAGAGGACAAGCATGTCAGAACGCTCCTGAGTACTTCTGCAGCTCAAACTTCCTGAGCTTGAAGTGGTATCCTAAAATGGAAAGCCACAAAAAGGGAACTTAGCATATTGTTTTGATATTTTATCAAATAGTCTAATAACAATGCCTATATGATGATAGTAGTTGTTGCATAGAAGCTCTAGGTAGTGAGACAAAAATCCATTAAGTTTTAGAGGTCTGAAGTTTGTCAGGTTTTTTTCTTTTTAGAGGTCTAATATGTATGTGAATTCCAGTCAGAGCCATGATCTGATTTCATGGTTAAGAGATCATGAGTTATAACCTGCTTGTTTATTGCATTTTTCATTGTCTCAGAATAGGATATCCTTACCTGAATCTTAAGTTTCCACTTAAATTTAATGTGAAATTAATTGTGACGTTCTGTTTATCTTTGCTTCATGCAAAAATGTCTTCACTGTCATACTCCAGGAAAGCATCTTTGTGTATCTTTCACATTAAACTTCTGTCCTCTGCAGACCTTGACACGTGTAACTTTTGTATATACTGCTTTCTCTTTGATAGTAGACTTCCTGTTTTTGAAAGAAAGGAACATATGCACAACTTATGCAGAAACCTCATTGTTATATTGCAGAATGGAACAACAGAAGAAGTTACATCAGAGGAGGAGGAAGAAGAAGATATGGGTGAAGTATGTGTATATATAAGATTGTTGTCCTAATCTAGTAGAATTCTGGCATTTTGCTCTGCGGTGGCTGTGTAATTATTAAGCCAAACTGTAAAATGTAATCTCCCTAGAGTTCAACAGAAAAGATGATTAAAAATTTGGATGTTTACCTTAATGTCAGCTTTCACTTCAACCACAAAGCTAGTGAAATTTTCTTCTTAAACCTAGATCTCAGCTATGAGGTACTTGGATACAGAGAACTGGACATCTGTTTCTGCTTTAGTCAAACTATGTATAACATTGTTTGCCAAATCAGTAAGTTTGCATTGTTAACTCCTATTTCAAGCAGCATATGAACTGGCTCTGATACAGTTGAAAGTGCTTCCCAAATTGAAGCAGACTGACTAAGAGTAAATCAGTTTGCTGATTTATTGAACAGGTGAGCTAGTTTTTAACTATTGTACATTGAAGGGAATGAAAGGAGATCCGAAACAGACACGCTGAACTTCAAGGGCTTTATGTCACTGTCTAGCAACACAGTGCTCCTTTTACTGAGCTTTTTACTGTGTGAGAACCACCCCATTCAGTTAGTTCTACAACATGTTAAAATAGCTCCAAGATGCTTGCTTTTTAAATCTCTATAAATAGACTACTTATAGGAGAACTGTTCTGACTACTCCAGATTCAGATTTTTAAACGAAGAAGGTGTGTGGTAAGAATGAACAACTCATTCTCTGAATAAAAGATCTTCCTTTAGAAAAGATCTAAATGTTACCAATGTTCTGGAATTAATTTGAAGCAGCCTCTCTTACGCCATATTTAGCCTGATCCAGACCACATTTGTTGGAGCCAGAGTTTCTGTAAAGGTGGTATGTACGCTCCCATAACCTGCTGCCACAAGGCTCTTGTTGCTTGCAGCCTTTTGCACTCTGTTCAGGTTACTTTAGACAAAAAAATTGTCATGTCTGTCATTATTTGTTAGCAATCAGGTGGCGTTGTGCGTGGCACTGATATCTTCGACTTGTAATCTGGTTCAATTTCTAAATTGAAAAGCAGCTTATGGTTCCCAGGGCTATATCATTATTTTAAGAAACAAGAGTGTTTTAAAGAATAGTCTAAAATCTGTTGCAGTTGGAGGAAACAGTGTTGTCAAAGGCACCATATAGGTTTGCTTCTTACTATGTAAGACATCTTGAATTTGCATTTATGGCCAGGTTTTCCTGCCATGCAAGCAGATGGTGCATAAAGAGTAGCCACAGGTGTGGTGGAGCACTGCATATTGGAGCATATTGGAGAGTTGTGTACTCATAGCTTGCTGGCGTGGCTGCTGTAGTGCTTTTTTATCTCAAAGTATTTACATCCTTCCCCTCTCCTCCACAAATAGCACTTCAATCACATTACAGGCAGTTGTCTTAAGCTCACAGTGCGCCTCTGCAACGGGATAACCCTGTCTCAGAATACAGACTGGAAGGTTTTTCAGCATCTTAGTCTAGAACTCAGAACTGAAATGTTGGCTTGTGTGATCAGAATACTTGACCACATAATTTTGTCTCAATTCCAAAACTGCTGCATCTAATCTTCAGCTGAAATGGTCACCCTCAATAAAGTACATGTAGCTTTCTAATATTTAACTTTCTTGAAGGGTTGCTGTAGCCCTGCCAGATATGTTAATCATTGTTTGCCAGAAGTGTAATATAGCTGGGATTCTAATAGAAAAAAGAGTGTGCTTTTAGAAACATCTTGGAGACACCCTGACTTTGGGTAGCTTTGGATTCTCAAGCCCTGTTCAAAATGCCTGTAACTTCCTGTTTTCTACCTACTTTAATGGGCTAATTCACTATAATGTTAACTTCTTGCAGAGGTTTTATTGTGCTTGTTTCCATGACCAGAAATATGTAGTGAATTTGGGTCTCATTTGTATTGTGAAGGCTCCCTACACATCCAGTGAATACTGTTGGCTGAGAGAGTGATGTTAGAGCAAAACAGAAATGATGTCCAACAATCACTAATACATAGTGCTGTGCGATATGAGACTGTATCCCTAAATGCCCTTGGAGAAGGTTTCGTTGAACAAAGAGCATAGTCAAGTTATTTACAGTGAATTTTCCTCTGTCCGGTAGGATATTGAAGATCTCGATCACTATGATATGAAGGAGGAGGAGCCAGTTGACGGGAAGAAATCTGAGGATGAAGGCATTGAAAAAGAGAACCTTGCAATCTTAGAAAAAATCAGAAAAAATCAAAGGCAAGATCACTTAAATGTGAGTTATGATTTATGTTTTTTCTTTGCGATACTTCTGGCTTTAAAATAGAAATTATTTTCAGCAAATAAAGCCTACTGCTATGCACCTAGACATAAATTAGTCTGTAGCTGACTTCCAGCATGTATAGGACAAACGTCTCAAGTTATGGGACCTAAATAGCTCTTTTTGGAGAAGTCTGAATAGGCCAGCTAAGATTCCAAAGCCATTTAGTAAATGGGCTCATCTTTCATCAAAGTCTTTGGCCCAGGAAGTTAGTTGTCAGTCCACATCCCCCAGAGGCACAAAAACTACTTCAAAGCACACTCAGCCTGGGAGAATGCTATCATCATTTATTTTGTCACACTGGGTTGGGATATTCTTGGCATTTTGGATGAAGACGCATCTTTTAGCTTTTCACTCTTACGTGAAAATTCAGGTTTCGCAGTTGTTAATGATACTTAACTGCTTGTCTAATTTCCAGAGGTATCCATTTGGTTGTCCCTCTGTATCTTACTTGATGCCTTTGTAACAAACAGTAGTCCTCCTTGCAGAATCAGCAGAAAGCATCTAGGTTGTAAGCATGACTTTTGTTGCTGAGCCCTTATTAAAGTAACTAAATCCATATATAAAACTGACTGCATTAAAAGTCATGGGTTACTTAACATACTTAGTAAACCCAGGAATTTGTGCTTTAAATCCATTTTATGCATGAGTTTGTTTTTCAGTAATAGCTACACTGGATGGAAATTACTGAAGGGTAAATTTTTTTTTTTTTGCCAGACATAAAGCAAGGGGCCTGCAGCTTTATTATCACAGTTTTCTGAGTGATCCTGCCAGCAGACAGTTGTAAAAAAACTGTTTGCTCTCCAGAGGGTTATAAATGTTTTGTCACAAGTGCCAAGTTCCAGGGAAGCTTCTGCTTCTCAAAGGGGCATGTAGGAGGGAATGATGATGTCCTAAAACCTTAACTTTATTTAGCCTGGCTTCCAAAGAAATGAAAACTTTTGTTTCACAGAGGCTTAAAATGTGTAATGCATGAAATTCAGTACTTCTGTTCATGACCAACTTCAGCCAAAGATAAAGGTTCTAAAATTTTCATAAGTCACCAGTACGGAAAGAAGGTGCTTGAACTGGTGCCTGCTACTGTGTGAGCTCATAAGTTTTTATATGCTGTTTGGCAAGTCAGCAGACATGTAGATCGTGTCCAGACACAAGATGTGCTATCATCAAGCTAACAGTTGAAGATGTGAGCGGTAGTTAGGTAGAGGGGTGGGACCTGTAAGTATTTAGGGAAGGAATAAGATTTAGGATTGGTAGGGAAGACCTGGATTTTTGCCCAAGGAACCAGCTCTGTTCTAGTTCTTATACTTGAAGATAAGTAAATATTTTCTAAAAAGCCTAAATTACACTTAAAAGTGATATTAGATTCAATAGACTTGCTGTTGTAAACCTCTTTTGATTTGTAGCACGAGCTACATGCATTCAAAGTGCTTGGCACAAGCCAAGCCAATCCACTTTTAATATCGGATGCACTCCTGCTAGATCCAATTATCATACGGATTCAGAGAAAAGGCTCCTTTAATTAACAGAATCTTGTATATTTCTTGTTGTGAATTACTGGCCCTAAATAACTTTATCTAGTTTAGAAAAAAGCCTTCTTCCTCTGAGTTACTGACACTTTAAGGTGGAAAAGAGTTTCAGTTTGTAGCCATCTGCTTTGCAAAGAAACAAAATAGAAATGTTTCTGTCAGAGTTCTTCAATTACAAGCCACCCGCTCCTGTTCTAGTGCTATTCTAATATGACTTGAGTGCAAACATGTCAAAAATACCTTAGACTTATGTTCTGCTGAAATAGGCAGCATGAGATAGCTGGCTAGAGGAGACTGCTGTTTGGTTTGTATATGAATTCAATAGTTAGCTATCAGGTTGTCTAAAGGAAAGTGTACAGTAATGATCACTCCTTAAAAAAACACAACACAAAAACAACCGACTAACAAACAAAAAACCCCCAAACCTGATCAGCATTTCAGTATTTGCAGGTAAACATAAGGTGCCACACTGCTTTTGCTGTATAGTCCAGTCTGTTTTAAGACTTGACTAACCATAAACACAATGGTCATTTACTGGTTTTGTTTAAACTTAAATGTCTGTTCAGAGTTTGAGAAGATGCCTATTGAAATTCTGTATATTTCTGTATTTGTAACTCAGACCTAATAGTAAGACTCGTTAATTGTTAAAGAAAATAAATCCTCTTGCAGCCTGCAAGGCATCGTCTGCTTTACTGTCGTCTAAAAATTTGGTAGAACTGAAAAAAGGTTATGGTAGTGTCAACATTCCTTCTTGATGTGGAAAGCCTCTTAAACCGGCAGATTTTCTTTTGCTATCTGTTCTTTCCCATTTGGCAAATACTGCCTCTCCTTTTGCTTTTTCCCTCCACATCTAGTGCAGCTGAAATGAACACTGCTGGGTTTTTGTTTGACAACAGCAGATTCAACTTACATAATAGCTGTTTCTCATGCCAAGACACTCTCGTTGATGCTGGTGCATAAACAAGGTCAGCTGAGTACAGGGAACAGGGTATTCAACTGCTGCTGAGGAACCATGGCATTTTTGTGGGTCACCAGAAATAGCTGTGCTGGTTAAATAATTTCACGAAGGACTTGCGAGGGTTTGCTTAAGTGCTTGAGAACTGAAAACTATAGCTGCACTACTGCCCTAGGAAAGACCTAACCTAGTAGCACTTTAATGGCCCTTTATGCTGCCAAAACATGGGGCATTTAATAGAACATGTTAAACATGCTCTAAGGTAGAAGTTTGCTCAGTATCCTAACTTAAAGCAAAATTTAATTCTGTACAGCCCTTCACAATGAGTTTTCTTAAAGGACAGTATGAGTTTTGCAAACTTAAGTGTAATGGCTAACCATAGTCTGGTTTTCACACAAACAACACAGCTATTTTGGTATACTTTGTTTCCTCAGTAAAGGAAAGTAAAACAAAGTCATGTCACTTACATGCTTGTTGTTGGAAGAGGGAATGTGAAGCCTAATCTAGGGCTTTGGCTAATGCCCAGTACAACCAGAAGACTTTTCAGTTTCTTTACATGTTCTTTGGCCCAAATCCATGGGTCATCCTCTCTCCCCTTGACTGAAATGCAGGTTGAAGCTATGGATCACGCTAAAGGTTTTTCCACAGGAAGAGTGTGTACAGCCCTGTTCTTGTGTATTCTTAACAGGTTAAAGACATTTTTCTGCTGCTTGAGACTTTTGTCAGAGGAGTTTTTAGGTTTTGTGTGTTTTATACAAGTTAAGAATATGTATCTACTAATATTGTAAATGAGTTCTCGTCCTTGGCAGTATCCCTAATCCTATTCTTGCTGGCATCAGGAAATAAATTTGGCTTGCTGTACGGTATGTAACTTGGAGCAAGAATTAATCCTCCTCTTAACACTGTAATAACTTTAAAGAACCACTTGCTTACTGGGAGCAAAAAAAGGTCTTTGAACTGGAATAATTAATTGCAAATATTTAACAACTTGCTCCTGCTTGCTTTTCAGAGGTCTCTCCTCACATAGTCATTTTAGAGATTAATTCTTTTCTTATTTAGATAATGCTATTAGTTTTTTCCATTTTCTTCTGAGGAGTTTATGTACTTTCCTTTAGAAGTCTCAATTGTCTCCACTTTCATCTTCAGATTTTATGAAGTCTAAGGTGTCATTTCCATTTTCAGCCTAATCCTTGAAGTAAGTGTGAATCTACCTTAACTTCCAGGAATGAATGTACTTCTGCACAAACACTGAGAAAGTTCCATGACGACAGAGCAAACTTGTATTATTTAGCTCTTTCTGGGTCACTTTAGATTTTATTTTATTATCTTGGAGGGGTTTCCATTTTTTTTGTGTTTTGTTTTAGCAGGTAGTTTTTGGTCTTGTGGCTGCATTATCTAAAATGTATTGTGAGTGAGGCGATCTACTATACTGTTTTGATGTGTGACGGTATTTTTACGATCAGACAGAAAGCAGACAATCCAGGCTTTGCATTTAAAACTGCAGTGAACTGCACCTCCTACCTCAGATATCTCATTTAAGGAGCAGACTGCAATTGTGTTTTGAGGGATGGAAGGGGAAAAGAAAATGTCCAAAGGAGAAAAGTTGAGGCCACAAAACCTCGTATCTCTGGAGACTTCGTGCAGCATACAGCTAGGGCAGTGGCGTGTGCTGTGCTGATTTCTGCGCAGTCAGGTGTGCCCTACTGAGTTGCGAGTGCGGAAGCTCAGTTCTGAAGTCCTAGTTTTCTTAGAAGTTCCTAACTGTTCTATAAAGCATTTTATTCAAATTTGTACATTCATGCTAAAATACTAAGAATAGAAATACTTCTGAAAAATACAATGCATATACTGACTGGGACCAAAGTTTCACCGTTCTGACAGTGGCACAAGCATGTCCTTACAGGGAACAGTTTGAGAACAGGACAGGCTTGTAGTGATGCCTCTCATGAATATCTTTTGTGTCCAACAGTTTTGACTCTGGGAATTCTTGCACTAGGTGTTTCTGATATTTGCAACTCTCAGCAATTGGCATGTTGACCACGTAGATGTTTAGCTCCTGTAGCGGGGATTTCTCCAGCTTACCTGCTCATTGTTCTGGAGAACCACAAGTATGCTTGTACAGGAGAGGATGATCAAGTGAGACGTTTTGTGCTGATTTGATTACTTAATAGGAAAAAAGTCACTTGGCTTGTCTGGCAGCTCTGTTAACTTCTTCAGTTTACAGATCAAATGGCTATGCCTTTCTGCTCTTGGCATCAACCCCACATGAAAGATACCTGTCAGATCCCATGATTGACAAGTTATTTCTAAGGCAGTTGCAACTGTAAGTCTTGATCTCACAACTGGAGAAATGGGAACTTTATCTCCCTTGGAGTGGTAAGTCCCACTTTTCCAGAAGGATACTCAGTTATTTATATCTGAATTTAGTCTTTGAAATTGTAACTTGCATATAGCAAGTTATTGAAAGTTAAAGTGTTTAATTTTAGTACTGTTATAGTTAAAACTGAACTCACTGCTCTACTATATCACGCAATGGTGTGATGCAAGTAGTGCTCTTTTAAACAGCACTTTAACAGTAGTTATAGAAAAACAAAAGTGATACCAGAATGAAGACTTTGTGTTTCAAAGCAGTGGTGTTTGGCATTAAGATTACCATCAGGTATAGCAGTTAATCCCTGCAGGCTTCCTCTTCAGCTTCCTCCAAGGGTAGTTCAGAGCACGTGAAGTAAGCTCCTGTGCTAAACTTCTTATGTTAAGCTTGCTAACCTCTTTCTCTTGATCATAGATTACTGGTTTGCAGTCTATTGATTCTTTAGAGTAGCAGGTCTAACTATATGTAATACTGCTATATAAGGAGTATAACCTTTTTTTTTTTAAATACCACTTCAGTTTATCAGCAGTTATAATGGCACTCAGGAGTATGTGGGTGTATTAAGTTTTGGGTTTTAAATTACTACAGTACAGAAGGTATTTAAATGCAAGGGTGAACTTCCAACATTATGTATGGAAAATCAGTAGCTTAATTTGATGGAAGTAAAGATGCAACGAGGAAACTAGTTTCCACAGGATGTTTTTGAGAATCTAAGTTGTCTTTAAATTGCTTGTATTTAGAGGTTCATATTCTGTGAAAAATGTAAGAAAGTTCCTTCTTTCAGTAAGAAGTACAGCAGGTGAAGTGAGGATATTGCACAGCTCTGCAGAGAAGAAAGCCAAAATCTTGACACTTCTCTATGAAGGTTCTTTTCTCTGGAGTCAACACATTCATGAGTCTTAATCTTAACACTTACAGTACAGGTCTGAAAAAGCATAGCAATTTTACAGAGAATGGTGGTTAACACTGTGTTGTGTTAACTTCTGAAGTGTAATGCTTCTTTTTTCAGCAAAGAGTGGGTATACTAGTAATCTGCAAATAACATGTATAAACAACCAGGTTTTCTTCTGTAAAACTTCATTCACTTGCTGTTAAAGGAAGAGAAATCCCTTCTTTGTCTGATACTGCCCTATAGACAGGGGCTTCAGTAAACTGAAAAATTACTTGTCTGGAGCCCTGTTTTTATGTAGCTTTTGTTTAATCAAATGAAAGGAGTTGCCTTTTATTTGCATATTTAATTACAAAGTTAATTCTTCATACTGGTCCGTTAAGAAAAACTAGTGGAATTTCAGTAATCCACGTAATTAAATCCAGTGGAATATGAAAATGCACAGCTTAAAAGAATAGTCTACAGATTATAGTGTGAAACTAAGCATATATATGATACTACTAAACAGACAAGACAAAGGAATGTGTGGAGACTTTAGCATCAAGTAACTGTTACTGATACTTAATTCTTACTAAGAAATAACAAGTAACTATTACTGCTTTTTAGTCCTTATTAAGAAATAATTTGATCCTACAATTAAGACCTTCTAGAATATATAGTATCACTGTTGACTTCAGGGAAACACAGATGACATTTCAGGTGTTAGGCAATGGTCACAGCTGCTCCAGATTCCTCCAGAAATACTTCTCTGACACTGTTTGTAGATGTTTATAGTGTGTGAAAGGAAACTGAAGAAACAAATCTCTTCAAATTTTTAGATGGAGTAGAAAAACAGACCCATGAAGTTATCATTCGCTACTTCATATAGAGAGCCTGAACTTAACTTTATTCTAGGTGGGGGCTTTTTTTGTGTGTGGTGGTGGTGGTGTTTTTTGGATTGGTGTTTCCCCACACCTCCGTCCGTCCCCGGTCCCCCGTCCCGTCCTGTCCGTCCCGTCCCCCCTCCCCCCGCCCCAAACCATGCTTAAGAGCGACATGTATTAGCGTGTATTTCAGTGGAAGTGACTGCAGTCCAAGCAGCAGCAGAGAACTGCATGGGTATCATGAAATAATCTACCTTTGGGAAACTGACCGCCAGTGAAAGCCAAAGTTTCACAGTGTTAGGCTTCAGGGTGGTAGTTACCTTACCTCATTTGGAGTCCTCATTTCTTTTCCATATTTTAAATCTTGTAACGCTGATTTTTATCTCTATTTTCCAGAAATCTTGAATGTAAAATGATATTTCAGGTGGAATATATAAGCAGGGAAATCATGTAACATCTAAGGTTTAGTATCAAAATCCTTTCTGTTAACTTTGACATTGAATTGGAGAGAGTAATCTAGGTGCTTTTGGTGATCATGTTATTCTAAATACGCACTATAATTTTTTAAGAGGAAAAAGTTCTGCCCTTACTTTAAAGCTCAGAAAATTGAGGCAAAATTTAATACCAAGGTCACAGAACTGTCAGGTTTGGGGATGTGTGCAGAACACATCCAGTGCAGCAGTTGATATAAGTAGACATCAATTACTTGATAACTGGTGTTCTCATTAGTTTGTCAATAACTGGTGGGTTTTAGACCCAATTATATTTTATATGCATGTCACTTAAAGGTCTCTTTTTTTTTTCCACTTTAGCACTGTATCTCAGGCTGAAACATCGGGTTCGGAAATTGTATGCTAAGTTCTCTGTTACTTTGAGATGCCGAGTAATACAGAACTGAGCTCTAAAAGAACAGAAGAGATTTCTGCCCTTGTGTAAACCACAAGAACTATGACAAATCACAAAAAAATATTTGGTATTTTAAGGTTTACTTACCTTAGTCTTCCTTTGTGTAGGTGTTCATTTTCTTTCACTCTATTGCAAATAGTGTTGTTTTTGTTCTGCATTTTCTAAATACATTGGTTGATCTTACTTCATCCAGAAGCTGCTATTCTATAGTGGATAATTCCAAACTCCTGTACCTTTTTTCATAACCAAATGAAAATATACTTCTGAGAAAACAGTAAAACCTCACATGCAGAAGCTTGTTCTTAGGATTAGTCTTACTCTTCCTTCCAGTGCATAAGAGCAGAAGGTAAAAGGAAATATTTCCCTATTAGAAACGTACTGTGGATCCAGCTTGGAAATAAAAATTCCGAAGAGATTGAACTCCTTTACAGAAAAATATCTGTTGTACCTTGATTAAAAGTTTGTATCTCCTATACCATGTAGTAGTATATATTAATGTGCTGCTTTAGAGGGCATGTCTTGTTTCTTTTGAGTAATCTTTGTTCACTAGAATATGTAATGTTTCAAAAACCTAATCCTAATACAGAAATTAATATATTCTTAATACCTTCTAGTTAGTGTAACTTTGTAATGGAAATAAGGCTGATTGTAAATATTACTTTTCACTTATTTGATGTCTCTTGTTTGTTTCAGGGTGCAGTCTCTGGGTCAGTTCAGGCTTCAGATCGACTTATGAAAGAACTCAGGGATATATATAGATCACAGAGTTATAAAACAGGTAAAGTGTTTCAGATTTCCCTTCTTAAAATACACTTTAAAAGAATTATCTTGGCAAATACTTCCTACTAATCCTTCTGTGTTTTGTTGTCATATGTGTATATATGTATGCACATATACATAAAAATAAAAATGCATAGATAAATACATTATGTATAATCTCATTACATAAAATAGTGTATTTGTGGCAAAAAAGGAAGTCAGGATACATATCCTCTAAAATGTTCTTCCTTTTTGTTATGCAAAGCTTCATACGAGAATTAACAGGATTGGTGTAACTATGAGAATGCTCTTGGGGTGGATGACTACAGAGAACAACTCAAGATTACTCCTGTGGGACTTCTTGAGTTTTTAGAACTACCTGAAATTCAGCTCTCCAGGTATATAGGGCAAAAGCTTTGACCACTACCAGTGGGTAGTGCTGCTCACAAGAATGTGCTTGCTGTAGAGGGATTTGTGTTAAACAGCAGAAGGTTTTGTTGTTATACAGGATTTAACCTTAATTACATTGCTGTTACTTTTATTATTTTGTGATGGTGTTAATCTGACCCTGAGCTCCATGTATTCTTTGGAATAAGGATGCAAATGGCAATAGAAGACAAGCTTGTCTTTTAAATTTGATTGAATAACAAATGCTAATTAGGTGTAGGTAGGTGGTTGGCTGTTCTATTTGCTCCATACAAGGGCTGTAGCTAAACTAACTCAGCAAAGGAATCAGTATATTGAATTGTCTGAGTGTTACCATACAAGAAATAGAGATTACATAGATTTCAAACAAGTTATATTTTTGTAGGTCAGCCAAGTAGACAACTCCATCACTGCAACCAGGTATGAGAACAGGTATGGTGCAGGCCAGGATGGGAACAGGAGGAATGCCTGATTAGAAAGTCAGTCTAAACTTTAATCCTCTATCTTTTACTCTTCTGAACTTCTCCATTAGTTTATTTCTAGTGGGCTTAAATCTCACTCGGTGGCTATGGCATTTTAATTCGTGTGTAAAAGGACAAAGTTGAAGAGACAATAGGCTCCTGTTTTGACTTGCCATATTTACCTTTTAGGTAAACAGTTTTATGTGCTGAAGTACTGTGGACAGTGATAAAAGGCCTGATGTATAAATTTGATTAGGTAACCTAGTGTTGATCTAGTGTAGCCTACTTCTTTTAGGTTTCATTGCAACTGAGTGCTTGCCAATATGCCCTAATCACCATCTATCCAGTAAAGAATGGATTAGTGGGTCTAAGGAAGAGCCTAGAAATAGATCTGTATTAAGTCATGAGGGATGCTTTACTGCCCATGTATGATCTTCAGAGTTTCTTTTTGTGGCTAGAACAAAGATTGGGTATAACAAATCTACTTGACTATAAAGTCTGTATGGTCCTTAATCACATAGTGGTACTGCTGGAGGCACAACCAGGAGCCCCTATAATAGATGTAGTTTGAGGTGAGGATTTGGGTTGCTTAATAATGCCATTTCTTGGCTTTAGATTAATAACACGTCTTCTCAAAGGACTGAACTCCTAATGTAGGATAGCATTTTCTAAATGATGAGGAAAAGTATATCTTACTGAACTGTAAAGGAAGTTGAGATACTAAGAGGTGAGTATAGTAGCTTATTATTATCTTATGACTCAGGAATATGTAGAAAGACTGCAACTGGATGCCTCTTGTCGATCTCTAAAACACAATGAAGTAAAGTGTCAAGTGGAGGCTAACACTTTAAAACTTACGGCAATCCTGCTTTGAAACACCATCGTGCTGATACATCTATTAAATTTTGCCAGTAAATGATGCTGTTTGTTATAAAACTTACCTAGATTCATTCCTTATGGCTTCATTTAGTCTTAGGACTTCAGTGAATTTAAATATCAGTTCTTCTTTGCACAAAACTCTTGCTTTTATAGCCTAGTTCTGTCTTTTGTTGTTAGATAACTGTCACCATGTGAGCAGGGGCATGGTAGATAATTGACTCTTTTTTTCTAATGTGATCTTTGTTCTGAGTACTTGCTTCATGGTCCATTTTTCCCTTAATTTAATTTCTTACTACTAACACACAAAGGGGATCACTGTGAAACTTAAAGGTTCTGGTAACTGTTCAAGGTAATTTAACACTGTTTTCATTTTTTGAAATATAAGCCAGAAAATCTAACGCTGCTTTTTAGTTGCATACACTTTATTTAGTGTATGTGAGGTTACATGTTTTCAGGATTGACAATAGGACAACACTGGGAGTTCTGAAGGGAATAATACTTGTAGTAACAGCCCTTTAATTTTTCTTCTTTTCTCTTAAACTGTTTTATGAAAAAGTAGTATTAAAAAACACTGTCAGGACTTCAACTACGGGTGTATATTCAAGGTAGTATCCATTTTAGAACTGAAAGTCCTTTAGTGATGGAAATACTACTGTTGGGGTTCAAGCAAAAGGTGACTGCAAGCTTGCTGCCAACAGGAAAGTTGCTTATCTACCTGCAAAATCTAAGTGAAGAACTACCCTTAAAAACAAATGAAAAACTATTTTCTTATGAGCTAACAGAAGCAAAACATACTTGAGCAAATTAAGATCTGCTATAAATTAGACAGTTTCATTAACCTATTTTGATAATAGGAGTCACAAGTCCTCCAAACTAAGATGATCTCATTTCCAAGTATGAAGTTGGATATTTGTTTAGTTCATATGGAAGAATTCACAAAGGTCCAAGAAATACCAGCTAAGTATTCGGGGGGGGGGGGGGGGGGGGGGGGGGGGGGCAGGAATGGGGAGGAACAAAGAATTTGGAGATAATAAATGAAATCTTCTCTGTTCATATCTTTAGGGGCTGTGTTGTTCATGTATAGTGACTTCAACTCAGTGCTTTTATCCAAAGTGTAGGAAAGTTGCTATAAGGAAGGCATTGCCTCTATTTTGGAAGGAGTTGGTTTTCTTCCTGCCTTTTCATCTCTTCAGTTTTTGCTTGCTTCCTGGTTCTGTCTGCTTGCTTTTACTTCATCACCTCCGTGGATTGCTGCTTAGAGGAACAAAACAAAAAACCTCTGTGTTTAAGTGGGAAGAACCCACCTTGATTCCCTTCCCTACCTTAAAGACCTCTCAGAAACTAGTACTAATCAGACAAATTCTTCTTGACTAACTTTTTATTGCTCTTACTGCCTAAATTAAGAGAAAAGCCTATGAGCTGGTTCCAAATAACACTTCTTGACTATTAAAAAAACAAAACAAAATCTCCCTCAACCTTGGATAGTGTTGTTAAGCTTCTGTATTAGGACAGTGAGCAGCCCTCATGCTGCTGCTGTTCATGAGGACATACAGATATTTTTCAGCTGAAAATTTGGGTGCTTGAAAGGTTAAGCTTGCTGTTCTGTTCAGACGCATTCTTGTCAGTCCTGAACTGGTCCCATCTCTCTGAAGAACCCTTTTACAACTTCTGGTTTAGGTACAGTACAGCTCTTGAGACCAGCAAAAGTTAGTCCTTTGGGGAAGCTAGCAAAACATGTGTACCTTGGAGCTGAAGGACTGGTACATGAATTCTGAGTAAAAGCAGGACTTTTGGGGTGATGGAAGGAAGGCAGGAATAGGGCTAGAGGCTTAGTGAATGAACAAGCTGACGGAAGTTCTGTTGTGATCTTCCATTATTTAGGATATTGTCAGAATCCTTACTGTAACTTGTTCTGTTGTCTGTAACAAGTATTTTATACTGGTGCCAGGTGTCAAAGCCCTAATATTGAGAGGCTGCTTCTTGCAGTCTTTGCTCCCTTTTGGATGTAGGTGGAAGAAAATATTCTGGATACAGTGGTGGAATAGATTCATCATTAATGGGAGTTGACAATGAGCAGAGTTCTGAGCACCAAGTCTTTTGTTTTTACAGCAGAGCAGCACAAACTTGAATTCTTATAATTTATGACTTTCACTTATACTAAGGGCAATTCAGAAAGTAGTGTCCTTGGATCTGGGAAATTGGAAAAAGGCCTTAATAGCTCCTGTTCATCCTTGAACAGAAATGTGTGGTGTCTCTGAACTAGCTGCTTATTAAAAGGGACCTTGAGAGCAAAGTGAGAAAGTTTTCAGACATACTTTGTTGTCCTAGACTTAGAAAAATTTGAAATAATGATCTCGACTGTAGTACCTGCTTGTTTGTGGCACTGCGGTAAGTAGAAACAAGCATTGTTTCTTTACCTTGTTTACTGAATTTTGGAATGCTTTAGAAATAAAGGTGTCTGGACAGCTTGAAATGTCATCTGTACTCCACGTACTGATGCTTAAAATTTTCAACTGCGAGATAATGTATTCTAGAATAATAAAACTCAGAAATGAATACTGTAATTCCTTGGAGAGAATGTGGTGACTGCAGTCTATTGGTTGTATAGCCTTCAGAAATCCTAGGCATTCTGATTTGCATATGTCTTCCAAATAATTATGTCATCAACAGCTATGCTGTTAAATATTAGCCCAGGTAACAATTTTATTCATAGTTGTTTAGTGTATATGCATGAATAGTTTGTGGGGGAAGAGATTAGACTTTTGAACATCACTGATACAATTTTCTAAATCTTGTCTGATAGTTAAAGATTTATTGCTTTTTCCTGGGCTACTTGTGAACTTCTGCAGAAGAGAAGCTTTGAATATACAAGAAAATGGCAGATAACCTTTCATCCTTCCCTTTGAGTGAAATACATAACTGTTGTTTAACATGCTTAAAACAAATAGACCACTGAAAATCATCAGCTGGCTTCCAGAGACAGCTATTCTTTTGATGCATCTTTCTGGCTTCTTTGGTCAGCTGTTGAGAATGTGCTTCATCCAGTTGCAGTATCTTCTTTTTTTGGGTTTCTACTCCGTACACCGTCCGGTGTCTTGTCCTGCTCTGCCAATACTGACGAGAACCTGTGAAACATAATGCTGCATACTCAGACTGTGTGTCAAGTATTTTAAAAGCGTGTTGGTCATGTACTGGGTGTAAAATATACCGAGTACTAAGCAAGCTGGAGTTGTAGTTGTGGAAAGTTTGAAGGGGAACTGGGAGGGGGGAAAAAGGTTAGGTGTCAGAAAAACATTTTGATTCATGTGAATTTTTTTTTTATAGAAGTGGGAGAACTTTTTTCCTTGTAGTTGCTCAGAAGTGCTTTTGCTATTGGAGGAAGGATGTGCCTCAGTATCAGTATCTCGGTATCTTATCTATTGCTTACATCTACTGACAGTATTTGCACTTAAAAGCAAAGAATGTTTTTGCTAAATTTTACCTTGTTAAACATTTAGTGCATAATTAATTCCGTCTAATATTTCTACAGGGATATATTCAGTGGAACTGGTAAATGACAGCTTGTATGAATGGCATGTTAAGCTTCTAAAGTAAGTTATTAAAGTTTTTCGTGTTATGAAGAATCCGTTTTATTATTGCTGCAGAGATTCTTACTTTTCATATATGTTCTGGCTAGAGATTCTCATTTAAAAGTGTGTGGTGGCTACAATTCTGGTGTGCAGAAATGTGTATGGAGATTGAACTGTAGTAATTGAGCTGGCAAAAAAACAAATCCTCTTTGCACAGCCAACACAGCGCATGTTACCGTAACTTTCATTACTGTTCAATTCTCTTTTCAAAACTATTCCAAAATGTGAAACCTTAAATTATTAAATTTTTTTGTCTAGAGTTTTTGTCTGGATGGTTTTGTTTCAGTTTTGATTAATTTTGAGAAAATGCAACTTCTTGTTTCATTCGTAACAAACGGAACTGTCTTAGTGTCATTAGTTCTTTACTTCTACAGTTGAGCAGACACATAGGAGTGAAACTTTTGGGTATAACATAATTATTACTTATATAATTATATAACTAACTTGTCTTCTCTTATGTACCGCTTTTCACTGTGTGTACTAGATGATAATTCATCTTGTTGTGTCCATAGGCCAATAACTTTAATTCTAGAGATATTGTATTGAAATTATTCCTGGTAACAGGATCGCCTGCCATCATCCTACAAGATAACCTGTAGGAAGGAAAAGCCTATGCAAACTAGGCTGGGTGGATGCAAAGGATGGCAATGGATGAAAGAACTTCCATCAGTTCAGATGTGTCATGGTGAATAAGTGTAAGGATATAAGCTGTTTCAGAACAATAGTTGACCTGCCTGTAGAAGTTGTTGCCTTGTCCTAGTGGTAAAACTTGTATGACTGTCACCAGCTGCTGAAATACAGTTTTGTTTCCTTCTTAGTGTAATCATAGGCATGTGAATGTTTTGAAGCTGAAAATGGCAGGAATGGCATATTTCAGAAAAATCTGTGCCATATTACAGGAGGTCTTGTCTATCGAGTGCTTCTATAATAAAGTGCTCAAACGACTGTGCAGTGATTTGAAACCTCTTTTCAAGTGCTGTGAACAGATCTGATTTTCTGGCTTCAAGAAAGGGAAAATGGAGTGCATGCAGTAGACGACTTCCAGAATGACTAACAGAAGATAAGAAGTATAGTGTTTGTTTATCCCAGTAAAAAATGTCTGAAATCAAATGGACTGTGTGCAGACTAGTTGAGGGGGTAAATGTCGGAGAGAAAAGAGCCCATTTGACTAAGGAACAGTATTGTTACTAGAACAAGTAACTCTGAACTGGCCTAGTACAAGCGATGGCTGGAAATTATAGGTTTCTGAGCACTGGGAGATTTTCATTTGAAACGGCTTCCTGTTGGTAGGATGGGGACGAACTGCCCAGGTAATTCTGAAATGGAATCTAAGAAGTTTGTGGTTTCACCTGTAGCAGAGAATTAGATTTAATAGCTCATCAGGCCCTTTAACATATGGTTTTGGCTTGCTGCAGGCACTTTTTGACTAGTCACTTTTGAAAGCTGCTGGGGTATCAGAGCCTGGGTGCGATTAACCCGGTAGTGTCTGAATTAATGTCTAGGCTGCTCACCATAAGCATTTTGCAACAAACAGTTGTTGAAATTCTGCTGAGCAGAAGCTGCTGGCTTTGTTACTTCTGCTGATGCAGATTACTTTTAAAGGCTGATACAGAGCTACGATCACATATTCCATAAAGGATTCACTGACTGTGTATTGAAAACTATATCACTACAATCTTCCTGTTAATTCCTGCCCTCCCCCGCCTCCTTCTTGGAATATACATTTCTGGTGAACTAAAGGGAATTAACATTGCTGTTTTCAAATAAATGGGTTATTTTGTGCTAACTGTGTTCAAATAACACTTGATAGCATTGGGAATGTAGTGCATTACAGCAAGCTTTCATGCTGATGTCATGGCGAAGTGTTTACTTTGTAAAGGGAGCAAGAGTTTTCTACAGTTCACCATAAATTACAGTTTGTAAACCACAAATACATAAAGGAGCTCTTTAAGAGTAATTACTGATTACAGGTAGTGAAAATATTAACTTCATCCAGGATCTCCCCCCTGCTTCTCTTATAGGGTTGATCCTGATAGCCCACTGCATAGTGATCTTCAGGTCTTAAAAGAAAAAGAAGGTGTGGAATACATTTTACTGAACTTCTCTTTTAAGGTATGTGTCTATGGGAAGAAATGCTGGGATTAAATGTGTAATTTACCACAGAAAGTGACTGAAATGACCCTCAGCTGTTAGTTGGGTAAAGATGGAGCTGTAGCATTAAAAGAAAGAAAATTGCAACTTCAAGTTTGGCACTAAAGGTTCCCAAAAATTGCTTTTTAGCCAGTAGTGTGGGAAAGTGATTTATACAGAACTGAAAAATTTTACTGCTTTGTCTGATTTGCCAAATAAGGCTATTGAAATACTTTCTGGTTAAGAAAACGGTGTCACAGTGTATTTCTTAACCTGTTTTTTCTTATGCTTTTCAGGATAACTTCCCTTTTGATCCTCCCTTTGTGCGAGTGGTATCACCTGTGCTCACAGGAGGGTAGGTTTGAATTACCTTACAGAAATTTTACTTTGTGGTAAAAATGTTACAACTTGAGATTGGTTAATTGGGTTTGCAGAAAATATTTTGAGACTACAATGCAGACTTCAAGAAATTTCCTCATAGTACATAGATGAGCTGCTGTAGACCTTGCATTTGGTGAAGATCTCAAAGTGTGATAGGAAGACTTGCTTCTCAAGCTTTATGAACTAATAGCAGGCAAACAGCTGGGTGCAATTGCTCTTTGAGTTGCTTAGTTTGTGTCTAGCTTTGGAAGACTGTGCCTGCCATAATGTTTAAGAACTGGCCTCTTTGTGGATGATTAATATTGCTGTTACTTCCCCTGTTGTAGGGTGTTTTGAGTTGGTGCTTTGAAGGGATCTTGATCCCTGTGTTGACTTAAACTTGCTGTATAGTCTTAACTGACTCTTGCTGGTAACACTGCCATAAAGTTTTTGTCTAAAAACTCCTCAAATACTAATCCAAACACTATGCTCCAAAAGTCATTTTAAACATGTCTGAAGTGCTGTCTGTGGCACAGAAACTTCTATATATCCATGGAGAGAAGATTAAATTCACCTTCCAAGGCTTTTATGCTTCTCCTGCTAACAGGAAATTATAGCTGTACATCTGAAAATGCAGTCTGTGATAGCTGGTGCTGATTTTGAATTAATTGCTGTGTGTCTTTTTTGCATTCAGGAAATTGTTGGTGCAGATAAATAGTGTTCATGAGGGTTGCTGCTACCAAAAATGTAAATAAGCAGTGCCAGACACCAGAAAACTCATTTGGATTCTGGTTTTGTTGTACTTGGACTTCTTTGTAGAATGAAAGAAAGAATGACCCAGAAGGTTTCCAGTGATCATTTCCCTATGAATGTCGTATATATCTATGTTTGAATGTCTTGATCATAGGGGAGACTACGTTTTTGGAGTGGTAAATTCTACTCCCTCGGTCCAGGTTTTGTGATGACCAGGTGTTCTGACTGCTGAATCCCAGTCAGCACAATGCATGATGAAGTGATATTGAAATTAGGAAGTGGTTTA